TAAAAGTCTTTTAAGGATTTGCAGCTTGCTTATGAAAATATTAGCTACAATGGCTGCCTGAGGCAATCCTTCCAGTCTTTAGAGAAAATGATAGTTTTCTAATCCTAAAATCATCTCATTGTTCTCTCATCATTTTATAACCATTAGCTAAGGGAAAATACAATCTCAGAAAAACTTGCCTGTACTGTGGCTTCACACTATGCTGTTGGTATAGCTGTCAAAAAACACAGGCCATACAATGCTTGATCATGTTCTTTCCAGAGATGATCTCAAAGGTGAATTGTTTATCAGCAAAAAATGGACAATCCAAAAGGACTGTAAACTTTTCTCAAAGTTTAAAGTATCTTCCAATGAGGTCTGGTAAAAGCAAAGACTGGAAAATAGAAACTTGTCTAGGTGTTCATGTCAATAAAAAGGCTATAAAAAGACCAGAATGGCTAAAAAATCTTGATTCTACAGCAGGAGCAGAAGCACACTATTTGAAAATCTGGGTTATTGTTGGAAAGGTTTATATATTTACTTTTAGACACTTAAAAAGAGGGCATGCACACCCTTCTAAGTAGAAGTAAGAATGTTTGCTTTGCTGCCTGGCTCCTGAGTATGTTTTGTGTTCTACCAGGACCCTTGAATTTTGGGGCTTGCCTTATTTCTTAGTCATCAGCACTACCCTATAGTCAAGAATTACTAATTGGTGGTTCTCTTAAAAAAATCCCTCTCAGATACTATATTACTTGATGCAATTGTTATGCTTTTTAACCATATAAATCAATAAACAAAGCATGTTTGTAGAGCTCTGTCAGAGTCTAACATATGGCAGGGTCTAACTTTCAACATTTAATAATGTAGAAAAGCAGATGCATTCCTACTGCTTGGATTCTTTAAAGACAGTATTTATATACCTGTTGGGAAGAGGCTGCAAATGTTCACTATTAGATATTAATAGCCCTGTTTTAGTGCCAGACACCTTCCTCCTGAACTAAATTGTCAATAATAAATATTATAAAAATAAAAATTCCCAGTTCATTTTTTTCCTTTAAAAAAAATAAATTGGGTCTCTATTATTTATTACATATGCATATTGCTCATCATTCTCAAGTACTCATTGATATACACAGAATATATTTGCTTATGTATGTGTGCAAACACATTCATTTTTGAAAAATGATGAAAACCTTATTTCTTTTATTTAAAAATAATACTCACTGAAACTTGGATAAAAAACTAATAAAATCTTATCTTAAATATCTATCAAATAATTTTATCTGGACACTATACAAACTTTTTCCCACTTTAAAACTCTACAGTGGTCATTCCAGTTACCTGCCAAGTAACACAATTAAAGCTAGGTAGCACAGACAATAGACTGACTGTGTTTTTGAGCTATGCACTTCAACTGCCCTGTCTCTAGATAAACTAACTCGCAGGTCGCATTCTTTGTTAGCGTCTTTATTTTTTTCTGAGGATAAACCATCCTTGAAGACTTATTGCTATTTTCACAACCACAGATTTTTTGTTTATGGAAAACTAAAATTCAGAGAAAATCAACAAAATAAACAATAATTTCAAACCAGAAATAATGCATTTTTTCCTCATTTATTCAAATTCACTGCAGGAAGTAAACACTAAAAGATTAAAAAACAAAACAAAACAAAATTCACACTGCAGTATGTACATTACATGAAGAAATTAAGTTTCTAATAAAAATGACAAATTATATAATGAGATCGCATCAAAATTGGTTGTGTAAACCCCAGAATTCACACCATGAATGGTAATGTGCCTGTATTCCAGTATACTGAAACACTCCTGGCATAATATTGGTTTCTAATGGGATTAAAATTCATGAAAGTAGTTGTGTGAACTCTATGTTGAAAAGTGGTTGACTTGATTTTAAAAAGTTTTAAGACCCTTGGATTCAAAGCACATTCTTTCACAAAGCTGAAACCACAGAATTCATGTCCAGAAATGGAATACTGCCATGTTGGGATGAACATCTGATTTGACTTAAGACATTTTGCCAAATGCAGAGATGCACAGGGTCCCCCATGCACTTTTCATGCAGCAGGTAATCACAACTTAAATAAAAGGTTTATTCTATACATGTATTCAGACTAGCAACTGTATACATACATGCACAAATTTTAAACCTGTCAGATTATATTTACACTTATACATGGAATATACAGAAACCAAAGAGATTAAAAGGCTTTTCTGTTGCATTAGAACAATACAAAATATGTATTTTTCATTAAGGAAATTATTATTTACATCACCTTTAAAAACTGATTTTAACATCTTCATGTAACAAGTCTATATATATATATGTATATATATATATACATATAATATATATATATAAAATATATACTCTCACCAGTTTACTCTTCTGTAAGATGCAGCAGGGAATAAACAGGTAATACTACCTTACTGATGTCAATGAGAGCTGTAGTACCCTTTCAATTAGGAAGAAACTGTCCAGATATTTAATAGTCTTGAATGTGTGTATTTGTGTACTTTGTATCTACATTTGCATAAGCAAAGTGAATTTATGGATGTATGCCCTTTCTCACTGCTGTTCTTTAAAATTATCTTAAACTCAAATTGGGGACATTCTTTAGTAAAATAGAACAGCATTCTGTGTGGTCATGTTTATTTATGTATTACATATCCTTATTCCTTCAACTGTTAACAATAAAAACCACCAACCAACCAAAGAAACACACAAAAAATAGTTATGCTTAATGCTGGCCCTTGATGTTCTTCTCCCTGACCTAAATTTATCACTCTTGTAAAAGTCCATTTTTTTTCTAGCATGCCTCCAAGGTTCTAGATATTTCATAATGGCAGAAAAAAAAATGACTTGTTTAAAAGCTTCTTTATATAGTGTAGACAATACTATTGCCACAGAGCAAATATGGGATGGAGTAGAATATATGCACTGGCCAGTGGAATTTTCATTTCAGAAAAAAGCATATGACTTCCTCTCTCCAGGATGTAGCATAATATTCACTCCTGATTATTATTTATAATATACTCAGTAACTATTTACAAATCATTCCGAGAAAAAAATAATCATTTACGGGATTTGATCATATTAGGAAATAACACCCATATTTAATATAAAAATCTTAGAAACAACTTCAAATAGATTTCCTTCTAATTAATAGTTGATTATATAACAATTTTTGATACCTCAGCTAATCTGGTTCACAATTAAAAAAAAAATCTGGTGAGTATATTGTGGATTGTAAAAAGTGAACTTAAAAACATGACTTGTTTCAAGATCAAAACCCCAGGTGGCTCAATAGTGTATTAAGTTCTTCCGAGACAGTATCGATTTTCATTTTAACCACTATTTTAAAATAGATCAATGGAGTGACTGTGTAGAATTCTACTGTCATGTATATGTGCCCTTTGAACTTTTCTGTTTAGTTGATCTGAGTTTAGGGCCTTTCTTGGTTTGAAATAAATGTTTCCTCTTTGTCAATACTGTACTTAGGACAATTAATATAACAGATGTTAAGGATGTATTCAGGAGAAGTTTCTGAACATCCTAGAATCACCTGAGTTTGGTAAGTGGCCCTATTATTCCATCCCTAAGGCTAATTAAGTAGATGTTACTCATTAGAACACATAAATCACAGATTTTCCTGAGATGTTCAGCCAGATAGGAAAGTTGTCCCCTCCACCCATTTTTTTTTTTTTTTTGGTCATAAAAAGTGTTCTGAACCTGATTTCCAAAGATATAACAGTAATATATGAACTACAATATTGCAAATATTTCATTGATGTGTGACTATTGGGGAAAATATAGGCATCAAATAGTTTAGTTTTGTTTTTTGTACAGTCCTGTGTTCTGAGAAAGGTTATTAGCAACGGTTCTCAAACTTCAATGTATAGAAGAAACACCAAGGCGTTTCCTCTTAAACGTGTTCAGATGCAGACTGAAGACTCCCAGGTGCACTTAGCAGAGATTCTTGTTCTGTAGATCTGAGGTGCTACCTAGGAATATGCATTTAAAAACAAGAACTCCAGAAATGGTTTTAATGCAAGTGATCTGAGTGCAGTTTAAGAAATCCTGGTCATAAACTCACAGGTACCATCGTAATGGTAAGAAGTAACTTTTACTAGACATGGTGAAATCTATCCAGAGAGAAGCCATTTTGCTTCTGCAAAAAACAACTTCTTAAATATTCAGCTATTCAGAAAACCACCTGAAGATAAATGTTAACTTTCCTAATTATGTAAAAGGAGGAATAGTAATACAGTAGTTAAAATATAAAAATGGAAATCTGCCCATTTTTTAAGGATCTATCAAACTTTCATCAATTGTAATCAATTTTTACTAATTAGTACAAGGTTTAAAGAAATATATATTGCAAAGGACTGGGGTGGGGGACACACACTGGAAACCACAAAACCCTTTCCAAGAGTTAAAAATAAATGTTTGTGGTTTTTTTGTTGTTGTTTTTTTTTTGTGTTTTGTTTTTTAGCAAAAGTGAAAAATGTAAGCACATTTTTTTCTAATTTATTTTTGAATTGGATAATGAAAAGTGAATCAGCATTAGGTTTTTAATTCAATAATTATCCTTTAAAGAGTTATTTAACAATTTGGACTTTAAAAAATGTTATGTAAGCTGACTTCTGAAATAAAAATAGAGTACCCTCATAAAGACAGCAAAATGCATTTATCCACCATGGATGGAAATTTACATTTTAATTTATGCCTATTATCTGTGATCATAAAGATTTCATTCATAGGCTACTCACAGTTATCTGATGCATACAGAAGTGTTAACCAATAGTTCAGTAGTTTCCTCATGAACTCTAATGTAAAGCAAAAAGCAGTATGCATATTTAAACATTACCAGTAACCGATACTCTTCAAAATGAAGTTTCAATTATACCATGCTTTTCTCAAATCATGCTCTTATTTATACAGATCTCAAGTTCAATTAATTAGGTTTAAAAAGATCCAAAGCTGAATAGCAGGTTAAATTTTATTCTGATTCTTTTTTTATCGTTAGCACATTTCCCAGAAGTCCATAAACTTCTCCATTTGCATTGTGTGGGTAAGAAGTATTGTTTCCCATATGGCTATTATAAGGGCTTCTTAAATTGAAGAAAGAAGCTTTAGTTTCTGCAGCAGGAAGTAACTCTTCTTTGACTGTAACCTGTGAGACATTTTCAGCAGTTGAAGGCTCCTTCCAAATGTCCTTGTCCTGTGTTTCTCGACTGGTAACAGAATTGCCTCCTTTCTGGAGCATGTAATACAGTATTGGGTTAGTTTTGGTCAGTCTCGGAGAGTCTTTTTCATACTCATTCTTCTCCACGTCTGCGATAACCCACTTAATGGGTCCCTTGTCACTGGTCATGGAACACCCAGATTCTGGTCTAGACCCCACACAGCCCAAGTGGTCAGGAAAAGGAGGACTCATGGGAGTTTTTACTACTCCTGGGTATGGAAATGTCCTGTTATCCATGGGACTGTTGGGCTGAGAAGAACTGTACATCAGTCCATTTAAAGAAGAAATGCTGAATTCAGGTTTGCTATTGGTCACATTATTTTTGTGTACTCTCTTTTTACTGTCAACGACAGAGTTACTCCTGTGCTGGGACAAATCTCTCATGCAGTTTTCTGAGAGAAGCAGCTGTTTCAGAACATTGAAGCTTTTGCTCTCTCTCGCCCAACTCCTATGTTCACTTTCATTGGCTGAACCATGACTGGCAGGATATTTAAATTCAAGATCATTTCTGCTAAATTTCAGCTCTTGCTGGTTAATCAGGGGCCCATACAGCACCTCCGGGGCTCCATGACTGTTGGCAGCATCGAGGATGCTATTTTTCATCTTTTTAAATGGATTTTCTAATGGCTCAGTATGAAGTTTCCTTTTTTTAGGGACCATGCAAAGATTCTTTGATTCCAGAAGCGTCAGTTCACTATGTCTGTGACTGTTGTCCACATCATCTGGCAGGTAACTCTCTTGATTTTGTCTCAACAGTCGACTTAACAAACCATTCTTTGAGAAAGAAAAATCCTGAGGTGAAAGGGGCTCCGATTTCAAGTCCTCGGAAGCTGGTAAGGCAGTTGCACTTCTCTGTATGGGGGGAGCCATACCTAAGAATGGGGCACTCTCAGCATCATGGCTCAAGTGCACATCTGTATTTTGAATATGTAAGTCATCGCAAGGCTCAGATTTTATTTTTACCATCAATATTTGTTCACTTAAAGCTCTATCTGTATGTTCCTGAGTACTCTCCTCTCTCAAAGTAATTTTCTCTCTCTTTTCACTCTTCCCTTTGTTGGGGTTTCCCAGGAGCAACTGGAGAACAGTGCGCCTTTCAAGCAGATTTTCTATTTCAGAACCAGAAAGTCTTGGTTCAGAATCTGTTGCCTGACTATTGAAGGCTTTACTTTCTTCAACTGCATTCGTTTTATTTGAGAGCAGAGGGCTACTTAGTCTATCGATCATAGCTATGGGTTTATCTGTATTTACACTCAGCTGTTTACTGGGTCTCTGCTCCTCCCCTGAAGTGGAAGACTGCATTCCGCACTGCGCTAAATTTTGTAACAGTTTACTGGCACTGAAAGTTGCAGAGTTCTGTGTACCTTCATTGGGGACTGGTTTCTCTCCTTGCGACTCTTTGCTCTTTGTAAGATCCATCAAGTGGTTAGATGTGGTGTTTATTGGTTTTTCAGACTGAGTGCTGCAGGCGTATGGTGGGGAGTTCCATTTGATAACCAGAGAGTGCTGGGAGAGATTGATGGGAGACTCTGCTTTGGTAGATGCAAGTAATGGAGGAGTGCTCACAGGAGTAGTCCTATGTGTGGTGGGGCTTTCTATTACGGAAGTCCTCGCATACATTCGTTTATTGAATTTTGTTACATCACTCTGCACTTCCTGAGGGCTGTTGTTTCTTTCCACATTTTCTTCATTCTTATGGCCGAGTAGCAATTGAAGAAGTGTCACTTTCTGGTGTGAATTTAGCTTAGAATTCTTTGAGGTATCTTGATCTTCTTTAATATCTATGTTGGGGACTTTTGGATCCCAAGTGTTCAGCAAGGATTGTGTTAAGTTATCCAGAGAAATAGGTTGGTCAGGTTCTTGTTTTTCAACTCTGTGTTTGCAAGACAAGTCTATGGGAACACAGTTGGAGTAAGAACTTTCATCACCACTACTATCATCTGTAAAACTAGGGTTGTTATCTGAGTATTCATCAATAGTTGTAGGTGTACTACTATCCTCAAAAATGCTTCCTCTCTCACTATGGTTGTGTCCATTCATAGGTGCAGTTATGGTCTGGCTTTTAAGAAGATGTAAAAGCAAACTATTATTTGCAGCTTGTTTTATGTTGTTTCTTTCCTGTGAGTTCTTATAGCCTGCATTTTTGAGGGAAGAAGGAATAATACCCATTGGACTTTGAAATGTCGTACTTTTGCTAGTCATTAGTTTGCTCGATGATGTTCTTGCTTGACCGTTAAGATGGCTTGACATTCCTTTTGAGAGATGGAAACTGCTGACATCCTTCTGGCCATTTTCTTGTAATCTGGCCATAGCAGCAAGCCTTTCACTTGCCACTTGATTTGCATTTTGTGTTTTTAAAGCATGTTCCCGAGAATACTGCTGTAAATGGGCTTCACTTGAAAGGAGTAATGCTAACTGACTACAAGCAACACTAGGTTTGGGTGAAGTGGCAGGACTAGCCCTTTTTTCCACCATGCTTGCAACAGCCTGCAATCTCGCAGCACATGACAAGGGTTCACTCATGACCTTTGTTCCACTTTGTCCAATGCGATGAGGTGATTCTACAAATCTGTCTCGGATGAGATTTTTAGTTACGTCAGGAAGATTGGTATCAGGCTTTTGATCCTTAGCTTTACTCTTTTTCAACAAAGTTTTTAAGTGACTTGATGCAACACCATAGCACCTTAAATCTTTCTCTACTTTTAAAGAATCATGACTGAGGGCATATCCTTGCTCCTTGAGGCTCTGCCTAATTTGTTGTGACAGAGCAACAGTCTGCAGCCTAGAGCTGAACGACTGAAGCAAAGAGGCCAGTAATGTGCTATCCTGTTTGCCTTTAGGCACACTGTCAACCACGCCAGCCAGCAAAGCTTCCTTCTTTACGTTTAAATTTACGATGGAATCAGACAGCCTCTTCCGCTTTGCTGCATTCCAGTCCTCAGAAGACTGCAACAGTCTGGCTTTTTTGAGATGCAGCATTCCAGATCCCTGATATGTATGTGTATTGAGAACTGGACCATTACTCTGACAGGTAGGAAATGCATGACCAGAAATGTTAAAGTTCTGATCTTCATTATGCCCAGCAGACTTTTTGTCAATGGCAGTACTTGATCCCTCTGCTGCCTGATGCATTAGTAATCCTTCTAGGTAAGTTAAAACAACAGAATCCTGGTGCACATCGGAGACAAGCTCTTCTCCATGAGTCATGTTCAATAGAAGTGTCACGAGGGCTAGGTTTCTGTTCACTTTAAAGAATGGGTTTCCGTGGGTGAGTGAGATATAGCTTTACTAAGTGAGTGTCAGTTTATCACCTTCCATAGCAATTAGACAGTGATGTACTGTTACATACTGAACAGGATTTCTTCTGGCAATGACAAGATAAGAGGCAAGCAAACTCCGATGCAGTCTGACACAGAGCTGATCAACTCCTAAGCAAGAAAAAGCAGAATTCCTTAATACATAGGTCTGCAGCAGCAAGCAGATATAATCCTTAGTGAATATCTTGAGTCTCCTTTTTCGTCTTTTGTTCATTAAATGCAAATATCAGTGTTCTAAAAAATATAAACAGAAAATAGTTAAGGAGGTGCAGAATTAGAATTATACTATGATATCTATAAAGCAAAAAAAAAAAAAAAAATACTTGTACCTTACATAAATACTATAATATACATAAATATGCATTATAGTCACTTCTTTATGTTATTGCCATTCCTATTATATTAGAAATCTCTGTTGGAAATGCTATGAATTAAATATCATTAAAATGATCAAATCAATTAAATATTTTTATATTATTTAACTATTTTCCAAAGCCCACCAAGTTTTTGAATTTTCATAGGCACATTTCTGCCAAGTAATGTGAATGCTTAGTCTACTTTATAGCAATATAGCTCTATAAGGGAGCTAGAATTAGTTCTTTATATTATAGGCAGATTAGAAAAAACAGGCAGAAGTGCACAATGAGGGACAGAGATGCATATGGCATAGACCCATCTGATGAGTCTAATGTGGGAGAGGCCTACAGAAGAGATTCACTTCTGGCATCCTCTTCCAAACACAGATATTCCATTAACTAATTTTTAGAATTTCTGTTTTCAAAGAAATAAAAGCACTAACAAGGATAAGATTATTTTGTAGGCCTGTGCAAAGTATTGACAGTCTTATTCATATTCATAAACATTTAGATATTAATAACAAGCTTAGTTATCCCTAATTTTTACCATAACTTTAAAAACAGCAGAGAATGGTACTTTATGTGCTCATTCATATCTATCAGTGTTTTAATTTATCAATGTCAATTTTTATTTTCAATTTAAAAAAAATTTTTTTCCCATCACCATTTATCCCATTGACTTTTAAAATTTTTACTTATGTGTTCTATTAGAAATTTTAATATGAGGCCCATTCCTATCAGATGCAGAAGACAGGTTACTGGTAAATATGTAACCCTATTTTTATAAGACATTCCTAATATAAAATAGTCGTCTTCTCACCCATGTTATTTCTTTTTTTGTGAATTTATATCAATAAGTATAACTAAATTAAAATAAAATCTATGATTTGAAAAATCCTTTAAAAATGAAAAAACAATTTAAAAAATGTGTTAGGATACTTGCACCAATTTTTAGTTTAGAAAATATGGTTGTAATAGTACATATAGATATAACTGTGTGCATACACTAAGCTAAGCACATCAACATGTAAAAAAGTGGAAAAGAAATTTAGAATAGATAAGAAAAAGAAAGGAAGATGAGTAATTGCTTCCAGAAAAATCTATCTAAATCAAGGTGATTATTTGTCATTATAAACAGCACCAATCCATACAGCAGAGAGAAGAAAAATAACTTCTCATAGAAACTTGTTTTTTTAATAAGAAAATCTGTAAATCAAAGATTGCATTTCCTGACAGACTGCTTCAGGTGCCACTCAGTAGCCACACCTACCATCATTCCAGCAGATAATGAAATGCCTATGAAAGTAGGAATTCTGAGACTACTTAAGGCCTAAATTCACTCAGTCCCTACAATTTAAAAACTCGAGGAAACCAAGTGAGCCAAATTTCTTTAGATAACTTCTTTTTCTATCCCTTAAACAACTAAAGTGGGAGAAATCCTTCTTACATCTTATTTAAATCTTAACTTTTCATTTCTATGGTATAAACTTTGAGAAATTCAGGAAAAGAAGAAAAAGAGGTATAATACTTGGATACAATACAGCTCATTGAGACATATGGATATTATAGTATTATGAATGTAAAATATTACTAATGCCTAATACATATATTTCTTAATGCTAAAATTGCTTAATTTCAAGTTAGAATTGACTGGACTCATTTTCTTTTAGTAAAAACACAACTACACTACTTTTAACCACCAAAATAACACTTTACTTGCTTGGTTTTATAAGCATACTGCTTCAGAATGTCACCAAGTGTTTAACACTATTGTGTATATTCAGTGAAAATATTTAACTGTTAACACACATTTAAGGATTTGGCTTCTTCTATACCCAATCTATATGCATGCATTAATAATAGTTCAGATATGGAAATGACCCAAATGCCTATCAACAAGTGAACATATTAAAAAGATATTATATATACTACAGGCCTGGTGCATGGAATTTGTGCATAGCGGGGGTGGGGGAGGGGGATCCCTCAGCCCAGCCTGCACCCTCTCCAATCTGGGACCACTCAAGGGATGTCTGACTGCCAGTTTAGGCCCAATCCCTGCAGGAATGGACATCCCTCTCACAATCTTGGACTGCTGGCTCCTAACCACTCGCCTGCCTGCCTGCCTGCCTGTCCCTAACTGCTTCTGCCTGCCAGCCTAATCACCCCCTAACTACTCCCCTGCCAGCCTGATTGACATCTGGGACAATGTAAGGGCCGCCATCATGGGATGACATGGGGGCGGCTATCTAGGTGGCCCTCCCATCAGTGGTGGGGTCTAATGCTAGAATATATAGCTTTCTACCAGCTGGATTTCATTATACTTTAAGGATGGCCAAAAGAAAACTCACAACAGAACTGTTTTGCATTTCATGTGCCATTAGCTGAAATTGTTTATGTGTTGTTTGCAAACATATATCAAGATATTTTATGCCTTGAAGAAAAAATATTTCTATTCAAGATATTTTATGCCTTTTGATATAATTTAAATTATACTATAATAATTTACTTTGTAGTATTATCTTTATCAAAAGAGAAATGTATATATGGTTGTACAATTTGACAGATGTGAATAAAGTAAATTTATCTAAAAAGTTGTTCAAGTAAAGGTCTCAACATTTGCAATTAGGCTGTATGAGCTTCTTGCCCTCTCCTAATAGTTCTCGTTTTAGATGTGTATAGTCTTCAGGGATTAAAACAGCTGTCCAGATTGCTCTCCTGAGAGACTTACATATTTTTGCCCAAGGCCAAATTTGGTCCTAATTTCGAGGTCTATCAGCTTTAACTTGCATTTAGCTGCTTCCATAGGAGTAAAATACCATCACTCACATTTCCTTCTAAAAGAAACTCACTAGGACACACTAGTGGTTGATTGACTCAAGTGCTCAACTCATGCACATGTGTATCTGAGGATCTCTTCAACTCTAAAATTTTATTCCAAGTAATTTACCATAATGTAGTTGACAAAAATGACATGCATTTTAACCAAAAAGATATGTTGTCAAAAAGTTGTAGAAATAGCTGTGACCAATATGTTTCATAACCTTTTTATTGTTTCCTTCAGAGAAGGAAATGATTTTGAAATAGCCATAATCTTTACCCATCCAATTCCCCAAAGTTATTTATCTTTATTACTTTCTTTAATGGAATAATCAAATTTCAAACAGATGTTCACTTATAAGCTAAACTAGAGGCCTGGTGCATGAAAATTCATGCACTGGAGGGGGGGTGTCCCTCAGCCCTGCCTGCCCCCTTTCACAGTCCGGGAGCCCTCAGGGGCCAGAGGTGACCTGGATATCAAGGGAAGGCAAAGCCCCATCACGCCTCTGCTGCTGCCACTGCCGGCAGCCCAAGCCTTGGGTGGCCCTGGGGGGCTGAGTGGGTTGGGTGCCACCATCTTTGAGGGCGTGGCAGTTAATCAGCATATTCCCTTTTCCATTGATTTTTAGGGAGAGTAGAAGAGAGAGGGAAAGATGGAGAGAAAAACATCAATGTGAGAGAAACATAGCGATTGGTTGCTTCCTGCACGAAACCCAACCAGGGCCCCAGCCAGGGAGGAGCCTGCAACCAAGGTACCTGTCCTTGACCAGAATTGAACCTGGGACTCTTTGGTCTGCAGGTTGATGCTCTATCCACTGGGCCAAACTGGCTAGGGCTTAACAAATTATTCTGGTAGCACATAAGTGTGAAAGAGTTTATGGTAAAAAAAAAAAAAGCCGAAACCGGTTTGGCTCAGTGGACAGAGTGTCAGCCTGTGGACTGAAAGGTCCTAGGTTCGATTCCAGTCAAGTATGTACCTTGGTTATGGGCACATTCCCAGTGGGGGGTGTGCAGGAGGCAGCTGATCGATGATTCTCTCTCTCGATGTTTCTAACTCTCTATCCCTCTCCCTTCCTCTCTGTGAAAAATCAATAAAATATGTTAAAAAAAAAAAAAAGGAAGAGAATGTGTAGTTCTTCCAATAGCTCTTCAAAAGCATTTTTCTAATATCTATCAAAATATGAAATATAATGGAAAATAATGCTTTTTAATTCTTCCTGGAATTTAAATATACACACAGATAACACATTCATTGAGATTGAGCATAAATCCTACTATAATAAACTCTGGTCCCCCATCCCTAAAACAGATTTAATATACAGACACAGCACAAGATCAAGGTCACAGATCAGAAGAAAAACTGCCAACAGAACTGATGTAACAGCAGGCATTTGATCAAAACTCCAGAGGTTTAAGTATATATACCAGACACTTTATATTTACTCACGGGGTACACTCTATTCTAAAAATGTTCTCCATCTTTAAAGACAAGATCTTCATATAATTTTTGTTACAAAGCATATATTCTGCTACAAATGTTACACTGGATCACAGAATAAGAGAAGAAACTGGGAGTGTGTTTCAGAATCATGAATTTTTATGTGTATATCTATGTGTGTATATATGTTTGTATATTCATTTATTTAATGGTTTGGTATAACTAATCACTGCCATGTGACAATTTTGAAATTAATTTAACTTGCAGGTCGCTGAATTG